GGGGAATATGAAGAGATGCTAAAATCTCCCCTACATATAAGTTTCGAATGTGCTCGCGTGCTTCGGGATCCTATTTGTCATAATTATATTCTTTAAATTGATACATAATTAGGCTCCGATGACATGTCAAATATCAATTAGGCATGTTTATTTCCATAATATATTAAATATTTTCCTTTATTGAAACAATCATTATTTAATTCATTTCATATTTTTCTTTCATAGTTACCATGATACTTTCCTTTTTAATTTCATCTTGTTTTTACTATTACATAACTTCACTAAATCAATCATATTAATTTATTTCTCATTCTTCCTTTCCAATATTCATACTTTACTCACTTTGAAGATTAAAAAGAAAATACAGTTTGACAATTTAATTAAAACACCAAGTAATGTTGTATATAAAATTAAACTATTTTATCACTAAAGAATTTTTTGAAATTAAAGCTTTAATATTTTTTTATATATGCTTCTTAATTCAACACCCGTGTAATACACGGATATTGTACTAGTCCATTTTATAAGCAAACTGTTCTAAGTCACATAAACTCACCTTGACAACAAAGATGAACCTCATCCCGCAATCAACGAGCATACGATCAGACGAGATAGAAAAAGTGGAAAGAGGAGACGCAAAACGAGGAGACAAAGGCATGTTCTCGTCTCCTCCATCCAGATCAAGAACCACCTTCCGAGCCCTTCTGAAGTTCAACTCTAAAACTTCCTCAATGTATGGCTGCAAAAGCACAAGCAGCAGCTTCCTCAGCTTCAGATCCTGTGCTTCCAGGGCCAAGCAGTGGCTAAGACTCGCCTGAACGCATACACTCGCCGCACGTAAGGCAGAGGAAGTCTCAGAAGGCGGCGCATTTTCCTTGACCAATCTGATCAGAGACTCTATTTCCCATTCCGCCCACTGAACAACCCTATTGCTGTAAACTGGGTCATCCCCAAACATGAGGCCAGATTCTCTAGTGGCCAGTGAAATCATAGAGAAGACAAGGTTAGACAGTGTAGCTGAGTACGTCTCAGGATAGCAAGGGCACAGGGCGAGAAAATCCTCTATGCTCCTCTGGAGTCGGGACCCATAAGATTTCAGGAAAATCTGATGAGCCACGGGACCTTTACCGAGCTTTAACAAACCGGATAGAACCTTCTTCAGTTCTAGAATACCAACCGACGGCTGTTGGCTGATTTCAATGAGCTGGTTCTCGAGTGTTGCTTTGCTTTTCGACAAAGCAGACTTAAAGGAGGAGGCTTCATCATTTGTTTCCAGATGATTACGTTCTTCGGCATCGATTGCGTCTATGGCTTCTTCAATTTTATGCTCGACAAGAAGAACGTCAATGTGCTCCAGGAATTGCATCCTTTGGTCCTCCTTTTCAGTTGGGAATATACTTTCAATTTCGTAAATTTGTGAGTTCTCATCATCTTCCTCGACACTCTCGCCTACCTGGCTCCATTGTTCCAATTCGTGAAATACGCCGCTCATGAGATCTTGCACGAGAAGCCCTTGGGTGGAAATATGCTTTTGGAGCTCATTTAGCTCGTGCTTCGTTTCAACTACTTCATCAGATAATCTGCAGCAATGAAGAACCGTACATAGACGGCATGTGAAAGAATAAATCAAACACAATGGTGCGATAAAAGAATAAAAGAAAAACCACAGAAGGTCAAAGATTTGGTAGGTCTAAATGGAGATTATACTGATTTGGGATCAGAAAGAATCAACTGCCTAAAGCATATATACTCTATCACAATTTTTCAAAATGTTGAGAATCTGATTTTTGTTAATTTACGTGTAGAATGGAGGTATTTGATATATTTTGTCTCTCAAGAAACAAATATATGGTTTCAGTTGATACGAAGGTGCGCAGACAGAGGTACTAACTACTAAGGGAAGAAGCTCACATTTATTATGTCTTGTAGCTCTGAAGTCAAATGTCGTATCTCTCTAATTTTATCACGAAACATGCGCAAATAAGATATCTAAAATCCACAAAATTGCAAAATTAACTTAGTACATTCTCTGCTAAGCTAACATGGTCCAAGCAAACAATGGAAGGCCTTTTCTCTTACCTCAAGAAAGCCAAATACTTTGTTTGTGTATTACTGCACAAGTTTTCGACTGCATCTTTCAGATCCAAAAGCTCGAAACAGATTTTCCTGATGCCCTACAGAGGATTTGAGGTGCAGTTTTCATTGAGGGTGAAGATATAAGTGATAATGCAGCTAACATCAAAGTTACTACCAAAAAGAGAGGAGCCACTGAATTATCACCACCAACAGGAAAAAAATACAATGAATCCACAAATGTAATCTCAAATCGGCAACTAAAAACTCATCTTCCACGGGTTGCACAATCACTGTTTACAACCCAGAACACAAAATTGCTAAAAGTTCACTATTTTCAGAACCGAAAAACAAAGGACGCGTATCCCTACTGCTTTTGCCATTTCTCCCATATAATTACTTCATTAAATTAACTAAAAATGGAAAAGTATGAACATGAATTTGCATAACCATGAAGTGAGGCACAGTTAAGTACTTAATATTTTTTTCTTTTTGCCCTAACCTTTTCAGTCTTGGACTGGTAGATGGTGTCGATCTTGGACTGAGGGGTGACGCTCTCCATTGAGGGGAAATCATCTTCTTCTTCGCTGCTTTCCACCATTTTCATCCTCACCTGTCTCAGCTCGTACAGAATTGAAGTTGCAGAAACTGGAGAGAGTTAAAGCAATGCAGAAAATGAAGTGGAAAATGAAGCGCTGGTTTTGATATCGCGACAGGGATAATTTACTAGTGATAAAGCACAGAGAACTAGTTTTGAACTCTAAACTATCTCTAATTGCAGTTAATGATCCCCGTTAATGTTAATCATGTAATATCGGGCTCAATTAAAAGCCTTTGGGCCCAAAGCGGACCAGATTGTTGGACTTCGCGAGTGCACACACTTTCAACTAATGATTTAGCTAGTGGCCGCCATGTATTAAACGAGTTTAAAAGTAAAATATATAGCACTAAATTTATAAGAGATTTTTTTTTTTTTTTGTTTAAAATTATATTATTATAAATATTTCTCTAACTCATATCATGTAATAACTTTATTGACAAATTTATTTAACTGATAAATAATTTTATTTGTAATTTAAGTTAGTCAAGTGTTTTATATTATAAAAAATCTGCATGTATAGAAGTTCATATCTACTACTTTATAACAACAAAAATTAACATATAGAACTACAAACACCATAATAATTCAACAAATGTTATAACTATTGTTTCATTATATTTCAGAGATTTAACTGTTGAAAATCCACTTAATCTTTGATAATACAATTCACAACTCATCACCTATCGTTTGGAAAAAAAAATAAAAAAATAAAACAATTCAAAACTCTCCGTGGCAGTCATTGCAGAGGGGGAAATAAAAGAAATAAATAAACTATGAAATTAAATTAATCACCTAATTATAATTAAAACTTTATTTATGTTCTTTAGTTTTGTTTTCTCCTCATCCACTCTGATATCTTGTTTTTACCACCACCACCACCACCATATTTTAACTACGTCTCTAAACAGTTTTCACCTAATTACAAGTCTGATATCATCATCTCATAAAAACATATCCATACTGAAGATTAGTCTGAAAATTTTCGTCACAAATATTTCATTGTACTGGCCTGATTTTGGCAGGATACATAGCACAAAATGTCTGTATTTAAAATATATAGCTAGCAGCTACTACTCAAATGAAACTCACGATTTACTACAGCAAAACTCATCCAAATGTGGTTACACAAAGAACTAAAAAGAAGAAAACTTGAAATCATGGATAAATTCATTCATCAGTCTTCTCATTTGGCACGTTATTAGTAGAATCGTAAGCAACGTCAGCTGCAGATGTATCCATGTCGTTAAGACCCAGTTCCTCATTCTGCTCCCAAGATCTCTCGTATTCCTCGACTGAATGCCATTCAAAGAACAATTTGTAAGTAAACTGCACCAGCCAGTCGTATTAACCAGAGAGCAAGAAACTACCACATAAAGTATACATCCGAATATAATTTGATTTCTAAAAGTCATTATCTCATTTTCAGGCGAGCAAGTACAACTCTCCAGTCAGCTATATACATAAGAATAAGTCCACAGTAATATTGAAAGCTAAAACTTACACGTTAACTGGGTGTCATCCTTAATTTCATCGGTTGCAGGCGCAATAAAAGAATTTGACAGAGCATCGTCAATAACCAGAGTCCATGGGTCTTCCAAGTTTTTCAGCTGTTATTCAAGTTCAATTTCCAGATGACAATGAGTAAATCATTCATTAATATAAAATTCAACCGAAATATAAACCTTGTCAAGTTCCAGCTTCACAGGACACACCTTGTCAAGTTTTGCTCTAAAATCTTTCCACTTGCTCTTTCTGGAGTCATCTAGACTATCTCCAAAAGTAAAGCCATGAACTCTCTCAAGACCTGCAGTTGGTTGAAAATGCTGAAATAAGTCTCATCCAGCTAAATAGAGCAGCTAAAACCGAAATAGAGTGGTACACTCACTTTCACTAATCTTGGATATTAAACCTTCAACAGTTGTAACAAGTCCACCTAATGTACCACTGGCCAGTTCTAAATCAAGCTCCGGTATTTTTACAGAGGCTGTATCAGACTGTGATGATCCAGATGGTGATAATCAGAAATAACAACAAAACGCATACAAGAACACTAGCAAGTTTAATAGTGAGTCAACTATGTTCAACTCTAAAGTGTTTTCATCAACTGAGAAAAACCATTTTCCACATAAGCATTGAAGAAACTGACCCATCTATAGTAGAAGCAGCAATTAATGTTGAGAATAAAAATGGAGAAGCCATAGGTTGAATATTGCCTAAAAAATGACTGAAACAATCACCAGAGTTACCTTTATAACATCTCGGCTGAGATCTTTTACATTCTTCACATGAACAATGATCTTTTTCCCTTTATCAGGAATAGGTCCACCAGGCTTTACCTACGAAGTACAATGTAAAATCATAGTTTCTGTCACAGGGAAAACTGGAGAAACTAAGTTCATGTCCAAGCTTAAAAGGTTAGATTGATAATAACCTCTGAGTTACGGTAACCACAAGCGTCACAACAGGAGGCCATAACAATCACTTCTTGGAAGTAAGGAATATCTATCTATGGTTAAGCTAACAATTATGATAAACCAAAGCAGTCAAAAGTAGAAACCAACTGACAAAAAGTTATAAATGATTCTTTATCTGTTGGAGTAAATTCAAGACAATTACCTGTGTCAGTGAGCACATTTGAGTGTGTGTGCGTTTGTAACTAAGTTATAAAAACCTTTCCGGGAAACTTAGTAACCAACTTGCACGCTACTTTTCAAGTACAGAGTACAGACATTGCAGTAGGATACTTGTAACGAACATGCGACACTCGCTTTTGGCAGCACAAGCTCCACAGGTTGATGGAAAAGTCATAACCTGCCTCACAAGGATGGGGGCAATGTTTTTCAAGTAAAATTATTAAGAAGAAAAAGAAGGCGAAAATAAGTGTGTGTGTGTGTGTGTGTGTGTAAGAAAAGCAGATGTACCTCTTCAGGAGCAGAATATCGGAATAAGGCATCTGCAATTTGAGAACTATTACCCTGAGCAATGGCTCGACGTCCAGCTCTTGCTCCAACCGAACCATGTGGTTCCTCTTGCCTCTGAGGAGCAACACTTGTTTCCTCTGAAGTATTACCTGTGCTTGGATCTCCTTGGGATGGGTCGACAAGATAACCTAAGGCAGCTTGCTGTTCAGGTGTTCGCTCATAGAACTTAATCGTCAATGATGGATCGGGTGCCGGAGCATGCCTATTTAACCATACATAATTATTTATCTTAAATTTTTCAAAGGCTTATTGGAGTAGCCATGATCATATTTAAAAAAAGAATCATACGGATTCTCAATGAAACTATTTCCAGCAGGATCATCAAGAATGAAGGTAAAACTTGATTCAGCAGTTGCACAAGCTCTCAGTTTTACCAAGAAGTCATCGATGGCTTCAGCTGTCTGGGAGTCCACTTTCTGATAAAACAGGAAAACAGTATTAATAAGATGATGATCCCTGAAAAGCCAAGAAGAACACGAGCTAAATTCTACCTTTCGCTCCTCCTGAAGAGCTGCCAACTCATCTGCAGCTCTCATCAGTATCCCTTCAACCTAAGAACGGATCAGAAAAGATGACAAAATCAGTTAAATGAAAAGGACAAAGGGGGGAGCAGTTTCCATTTGGAAAAATATGACTGAAGAGTGAAGACACATGAAACACAATGAAGCAACACAAAGTCCACTGAGAAAGAGGAATTGGAAATAATTACTATTTCAATGTGAGCCCCAGATGAAAAAATACTTTTGTGATTTCTTAATATCAAACATCTTTCTGCAAGCATTTGGGACGGTGCAGGAGAAATTAATATATATATGAAGAACTGGATTAACATGCAAGAATGTGACAGCAATTTCCAACTGCCACTGGATGGCCATATTCAACATCAACATCAACATACCCAGTATATTCCCAACAAGTTGGGGTCTGGGGGGGTCAGTTGTACGCAGACCTTACCCTTGTAATTATACAAGGAGGCTGTTTCCATAGCGACCCAAGGTGCGTTGCGTCGTTTGATATATTTTTTTCTAGAAACTTCACTAATAGAAGAAGCACTAGAAATTAATTGAGCCATTTTGATCTAGTCCATTATTAGCACTATGCCAGGAGAATTGTCAACAATGACTCTTCCAGCTCCATATGCAATGGACATAATTGATTAATTACTATTCCAATCAGAAATTGAACTAGTTGTGCAGAAAAGGGGAATAGAAGAATGAATCATCTTCTGCTTTCTCTCCTGTGATGTCCTGAAAAAAATTTAGTCCCTAAATAAAATAATGTATATCAGTTTACCCATATCCCGTAAATTACTACAGAACCAGCATAAACACAAAAATGCAGTGATTTCAGCAAAAGATTTCAATAGAGAAGTACATACCGTTGATAAAGACCCACGCTGAGCCTCGGGGGGAATCTCAAATTCCAATTCAGGGATCTGTAGAGTAAACATAAGTAAATAGGTAGGAAAGTGAAAGTGCCCATGAATAGTAAATTTTTCTAGACAACTAGACAAGGACGAAAATCATATGCCTTAAATGAAAAAACTGATCAACAATCTAGACTATAAAACCTGCTGCATGACTTTAAGTCTTTAACTACTTCCCTCAAAATCTTGCACACACAAATTCAAGAAATTAACCGACCAGAAGATTTAGTACCTTAATTGTGGCTGTTTCCGACTTCACAACTTGGCGATTGAACATCTGTACAAACATGCAGATAACAGTATAACACTGACACGAGAATTAAACAAAATTAACAGTTCACTAAACAAGCACAATCACACACTTATATGTATATGTAAGTGTATATATCAGTCCTTGAGGAGCCCACATATTGACATTTGAAGAGCCTAGTATACAACATCCAAGACCTTAGGAGACAACCTTTTGATCACCTGTTGGAACTTCTAGCAAGTAATGACAACCTTTAGGTTGAATTTCCCCCGCAAATTGCACTTCATTATTCCTTCAGAGTGAAGACAAAAGGAGTAAGAAATTTCAAAATAACCACCAATTC